AACTATTAAACAAGTCAATGCTCTAAATCACATGAAAAAACCTCGCCTTTCAATAAAATAATACTGAATTCACATATTGAAATTATTGCAAAAAGACATTAATTCATTCAAATTAAATATAAAATCTCATGAAGTCATTTTTAATCTTATTTATATCTATATTTATTATAGACATACTCTATGCTTTTATATTACTCGTAGCATTCATGATTAGCTTTCGTGGCCTTGGCCTAAATATAACTCGAAAATAATAATTCTTCATTAAAAATAAAGATTCTCTTCTAGATGTTATAACTTTTTAAATAATATTTATCTATATTAAAAGCTTCGATCTAAGGAATCTCCATTTATTTTTATATATATGTAAACATTTAGAATCTTGCTATGTGATATTGTATTTTCATAAAACATGTTTAGAAATCTTTAGGTGCGTAAGTTTATGATAAAAATTTAAATTAAATAACTTTGTCGACTATCTATTTTAATTTTTGACTTTGATAAAATATATATTTGTGTCCATAATTATTAGACTTTTAATAGTTATTTTGTTAAATATTTATTAAATAGTGCACAGACTTTAAGTGTAAACTTCGTTAGATGTTTGTGCCAAATAAAAAAAAAGATGTCATGTTCAAAGACACTTATTGTTTTTTCTTTGGATGTGTGGAGTCTATGGAACAGTAGAGACAAGAGAGTTGTGCCTTGCACTGATTGATTTGATAGAATTTTGTAATCAATAAAGAATGTGTGTATAATTGTTTGTTTTACTAATCACACCTCTAGTTTTAAGGCCCAATTATTAAGCTGGCAATCCCCAAAGCTTTAAATATTGCACAAAATTATATTTATTGGAATTGTTTGACCAAAGCATGATCTTAGGTAAGTCACATTTTGTAAATAATATTACTAATACGCATGTTTGTTTGTAATTTCGTTGTTTAAACCTTTATTTTTGTTTTTAGTTTGCCTTTTTTTTTATTCAAGTGTCCATAATGTAGAAGTTATTTCAATAAAAGAAAACAGAATAATTTCTACTTCTTTATTACAAAGAATTTAAGCTGAAAGGAGTCTGTAAGAGTAATTTTTGTTGTACATTTTGTTTTACTAATTTTAGTTGTTTTATTATTTGGTATGGAAGGCTAAATGGTTAGATTAAAGAAGTAATTAAGTTGTATTATAATATTTATGTTTGTACCTTTAATTTATTTGTTTGTGTTTTAATATTCAAGGGTACCAGTGTTCGTAGATCCAATTTAAACAATAGTTTGTTTTGTGTGTTTTTCGTTTACAGATTCACTAGCAGGGCTAAACTGATGATTTTATTTTGAAATTTTCAGGTATGTGTAAAACGAAGACGTCACGAAAATATACACATTCGAATAAGAACAATATAAATCAACGACAGATACAAATACATAAGCTACTTATGTACAAGTTAAAGTTAAGATTAGCTTGGTCTAGCGCAAGTCCCACCTTTTCAAAATAAAAAGAATACAATTTTATATTTAGGAATAGTTTACTTTTGTATTCATTTTCATTTCTACAAAAAAAAATGTAATCTGTATTCTTACCTGATTTTTGTCTTTGGATTTTAGATTTTTTTTACTCTTTTGACAGACAAAAGTAAACTCTTCCATGCAAGTTAACTTTTTAAGACGATACGTTGTTGTATTTTATCGTGTATCTACTAACGTCAATATAATGTTGATCCCTTGTAGATGTCTAACGCGCTGTACCTTACCATTACAATTAGTTATTCATTTTCTTTTGTTGCACCATTTAAAAATATAAAGTTTAAGTATCTACTGTTAAGTTAGTTTAGTGACTGTTTGTTATAAACAATAGAAATTATATTAAATAAAGTATTTTCATAGATCGGCGTTATTGAGTAAGTACGTCCATTTTACATTATGATATTAAAGTGTTAAAATTTTGATATTTATGCATTTCTATTATAATATATTATAGTAAGGTTTTATTACACGTTTCACAAGCCTGTGTAAATAGTAAACGAAGTCGGGAGCAAATGTCTGTTTATTGTATTTTGAATCTCTTTTGTGCATTTCTGATGAAACTGCTTTTGTGGATGAAATATATTGTATTGTATGGAATAAATAAATTTTCTACTTCAACATTTTGTTTTTCTTTTTTCGTGTAAGTGATAACTGCAGGAAATGAAAGGGCTAGAGACACTAACTCAGTTGGATTGTACACTAACACGGTACCAATGTCATGGATTCAAATCCCATCCTTGTCTAAGGTCATGTCATTCAAATGTTAATTATTTTACTAAACTTTATTTTCATACAACTATGGCCCATAGACTAACAAAAATATTTTGATATACAATTGATGTTAGTAAATAAACATAATATTAAGCCAATGTTAGTCACTATGCACTAGGCATACGGTATTGAGCTCTGGGGAACAGCAAGTACCAGCAATATAGAAATTCTGGAAAGGTTTCAAATGAAGGCAATGAGATGCATGTACAATATACCCAAAAGCATTAGCAACAAATACATTTTACAAGACCTAAGGCTAAAAACTGTTAGAGAGGAAATTTCTCAGAGAGGCTCAAACTATCAGAAAAAGCTATCTAAGCATGTCAATGCCCTTGCTTCTAAGTTATCGGGATCTGGAAGTATCCAATTTGCAAGACTGAAGAGGAGCAGTGTCCCTAACCTCATAGACCGATTCAACAGCTAGTAGGAAGGGAAATTCATTGGATACTTCTCTTCAATGCAATATGCCACACTCAGACAATGAGTCAGCCAAGAAAGCGGCTAAATGTTTATAAACAGATTGCTGTGTTGCAGGATATAGAATAGAAAAACTATGCACTAGGTCACCGTGCGCGTGTGGTACTTGTCCGCGGAATCGACGAAACCACTCCTTGTGGCCAGAAGTCCTCTTCCAAAACAAAGTGCAGAAAACATGTTGGCATTCTCACCACATACGCCGACGTTGTGGGCCGATTCTAACAACTGCATTCTCACCCTACATCTGATCTCCTGAAACACGTACTCCACGATTAGGGATTGCAATCCCGCAGCACATTCAATCCCGCGGGATTGATATGCGGGATTGATCAATCCCGCGCAAGATCCCGCGGGATCACGCATCTTTATAATTATGTTATAAAATCGAATTGAAACTACAGAGATTTATTTAAATTATCAACTTTTATTACGAGCAATCAAACATGTCTCACATTGTGCAACAAAAATTGTTTGTTTAAGAACAAAATAACAATTAAATTATAAAATTAAGTACGAGTAATTTAGTAATCAGTCTTACTAATCTTAGCTTTTAAATGTTTGGCATCAAAGTTTTGTTTCATTATACCATTATACCCTTATATCTAACAATTGTTTTGTACTATTTTGTCTTATTCATAATAATGACTAAAGAAATCACAAAAAGTAATCAACAACAACAAAAACAATAACTTCTAATCTGTCAAATCACAACTTTCTCTTATCCAAATAACTAAATTTACTAACTAAATTTAAGGTACTATTACGACTGTGACTTTTGGAAATACGCTCTTAAAAAGTAAATGGCATAAGTACTATCTCCAAGCCTGCTTCTAAGTGAACTAAAATATATCCTGATGCCGGAAACGCTCTCTCGGCTTCAACGCTAGTAGGCTGAACAGTCATGATATATTCATAGGCGAGCGTCAGGTACTCTCCTCTGATACCATCGGACTCGAAACATGCCATTTCTTTCTTCAAAATTGTTTCATAATCCTTTTGCTTATTGTCTGGTCTGGCGTATTGTGGATTGGTTTGCTTATTGTCAACGTCGCACTTGCACTATTCGCTTTCTTACGCGAAACTACAAGAACGTTTTAGCGAAAAATTTTAATTAGCGCCATCCGCGGATCCGCGTTTTAAAGCTGCGGGATCCACAACATTAATAAGTGGTGCGGGATCCCGCGGGAATGCTGGATCCCGTTTTGCGGGATTGCAATCCCTATCCACGATGTCCTCCGCCGCGCCGTGGTGTAGTGTAGGCGGGAGATGTACACGGGCGTTTGAGTGGCACGCACTTTTATAATTACATGTATTAGCGGCGCGGTGCAGTATTAACTCAATGGCTACATTATGTATGTACCTACTTTTATTCAAAGGATTCTTTAAGATGAGATGGAGTAGCATATAAGTCGCATTTCACGATTCCTTTGTATCCACTTACCTAACATGGATAAATACCGGAAAAATGAATTAGATCTCATCTTTGTATTAAAGTAGAACATAATTGAATATAAATAGACACATACATATAGGTATCATAATAATTTCTATTTCTGCATCTAGCAATCTATTGCCTAGTAACCCAAAATTAACGAAAAACTGGTCATCATTAGTTTTGTTATGAAATTTTTATTTATTGCTTCCGTACGAGTACCTACGTATTTAGGGTAGTGTTTGTAAGAAGATAGGTAGCACTAGTAGATAGCGTACTAGTACTATGGTAATCCGATAGAACGGCGCGTCGTGTTCCGCGCGCGCCTCAAAGAGCCATCAGACCACCACGGATGGGGCCCAACAGGGCTGGTGCCGATTCGGAGTCGCGGAGAACCTAACGGGTAACCGGGGCTCCGGCTCAAAGCGCAGAAGAAGGAACGGGGTTGTTACTAGTCAATAAGAGTCTGACACTCCCTCCCGCCTCGGTGAGGAGATTAGAAGACCGAGAAGTCATTCGATGAGTTTACTAACTTATAAAAAATTCAGCGAAATAATATTTTTTATAATTTATTTGGATAATAATTTTCATTGCTAAAATAAGATGTAATTAAAAAAGATTATAAAAAACTCATTAAAAAAGTAATACCATCGAGAATTTCATCAGACTGACAAAACAACGAATCTGATTGGTGCACGTCACAATTTCTTTAGACGCGTTCAGTTTAATATGATTATCAAATTTTTAGTGGAATCTTGCTTGAACGCTACTTTGACTTTGACATTACATGGGCTGCATTGATTTGTCAAATAAGAATTGTCAGTGTCAAACCAGTCTTGAATCATGAAAAGTGCGAACGTTTGTTTGAGCACGTCCTACGGTTTCGTCTTCGGTGAATTTAACTCTACTTTCACCACTGTGTGAATACTCATTAGTATCATTCTTAAATGTGCTGTGATAGAACACGGTCGTCTACTTAAATTTACTTATTAGAAATACTCATGCCATGGCGAAAGTCGCTACCGAAATGGCATACAAAAATTATTGTGTAGTGTTTATAATTTTCGCTCTAGTGATAGTTCAAGCGGTGGGTTACGACACCGAGTTGTATGAAACAAAGCCTTGCGACAGCAATGCATGCTTTGACGAGCTCCACGGGTCTTTAGGCGACTGTTCGTGTAATGTTGACACCATCGATTACTTCAATAACGTGAAGGTCTACCCGCGCCTTCAGAGTCTAGTGAGAAAAGACTACTTTCGCTTCTACAAAGTGAATTTGAAAAAAGAATGTCCATTCTGGGCCGATGACAGTAAGTGTGCTATGAGGTACTGTCATATTAAAACCTGTTCCAAGGAGAGTGTGCCTGGATACGAGAATGGCTACGAGAACGATCACTTAGATGAAACGCCAGTGACTAAGTACACGAAGGAGGCGCAGGGTAACTGTGCTACTGATGCAGATCATGACCATGACCTAGGCTACTTGAATATGACCATCAGTGCTGCTAGTCAACATGAAATCGCCAAATGGAAGGCCCATGACGATGCTCTGGAGAACTTCTGTGGCTATGACGATAAGGATGTTGATGCAGAGTATGTGGACTTGTTGTTGAACCCTGAGAGATTCACTGGCTACAAGGGACCCTCAGCTAATAGAATCTGGAAGAGCATATATCAGGAAAATTGTTTCCGGCCAAAGCCTAACCCATACAGTTCATTCCCATTTGTCATGACATCAGATTTAGGGAACATGTGCTTAGAGAAGAGAGTTTTCTATAGAGCTGTGTCTGGTCTACACACCAGTATAAATGTTCACCTCTGTTCTAAATACTTGCTCTTTGAAAAGGGAGCTGGTTTCACTACTGATGGAGAATGGGGACCAAATCTTGAAGAGTTCCAACGCCGTTTTGATCCCTCACAGACCTTTGGAGAAGGTCCCAATTGGCTGAAGAATTTGTATTTTGTTTATTTGTTGGAGATGAGAGCTTTAGCCAAAGCTGGGCCATATTTAGAGAAGGAAGAATATTACACTGGCAACCCTACTGAGGATGAGGAGACAAGACAGGCAATTCATAACTTACTGAGTGTAATTTACTCCTTCCCCGACCACTTTAATGAGTCTTCAATGTTTAACGGAGGAAGTCAAGCAGCTAAATTGAAGGTTGAGTTCAGAGAGCATTTCCGTAACATCTCAAGAATAATGGATTGCGTTGGGTGCGACAAGTGCAAGTTGTGGGGCAAGCTGCAGACACAGGGTCTTGGTACTGCATTGAAGATATTGTTCTCTAGTAAGTGGAACAGTCCTGAACCTGATCCAAACCAGGGCAAACTGCCTGTCAGACATAAGTCCCATGAGAGACTGCAGAGGACGGAGGTTGTTGCACTGTTTAATGCATTTTCCAGACTCTCCGAGAGTATACGGCAATTGGAGCAGTTCCGAATAATGCTAAGGTAAGACTTGTATGTTTTCTTTCATTATAGTTATATATAGTTATTTTGGTGCTGGGATTAGGTATAAAGTGTTTAAATAAATATCCTTTTTTATCTTTATTTTGTAAGTAGAGCTTAGCCCTAAAAAAAAACCGTCAGCCATATTATAGAATAGAAAATTCAGTACATATTAAAATAAAGTAGCTAAACCGTTTACAGGTTTAGCTAGCCCTTATACTTAAACATAAAAATAATTAAATGATACAATTTTGTAGTCTCAGGTGACAATGTAAATATCATCTTTGCATTCTGAATCTTAATTTAATTAAATACCAAACTAGTGACTGATAGATAATAAGGATATTTATTTCTGCAATTAATATGGAATGTATCGGACTAGTAGGAAGTGCATTAAATTACAGGAAATTTTATATCAAATATAGAGATTAGATAATCTGATGACTATCTTGGTCAATTATTTTTAATGGTAACTAGATCAAAATCACGCCATTAGGTCATTCTTACTGATATAATGTCTTAGGAGTAGTTACATTAAACTACAATTGTTTAATGTGTCTTTCAAGGAATGAAGTTCATGGTCTTAACTCGTATAGCCCCAAGTGGTCACCGGTGACCACTCTTCACTAACTATATTATAGACCTTATTTCTGATGTTTAGAGACTAGTTTTGTATGAACTTTATGGAATGATTTTCAACAGGTTTAGCCCCAACTTCTATATAAATAATTTGTTCCTATTATACCCCTGTACTTTAATGCACTTATTTATAATGCTTATTTTTTAATTTATAATTCGCATGCACTATACATATAACTACTTACCTATATTAACTCTACTATTTTAATGCTTCTAGTTCTAAATGCTGTAAGTAGAATTTATTTAACCTGTATATTTGTTTGTTTGCTTGTTCATGTGCTTTCTGTGTGGACGATGGTGTTTTGTTTATCATCTGTGATAGTAAACAATATTTTAAGATAAATTCTAACTGAATCATTCTTTAACAGGAATGGAGAATGGTTAGTAATTTAAATATAACTATTTTTACTGAATACTTGTAGAATTCTAGTTAGCTAGTAACTAGTTATTAAGAATAACCTTTTTTCTTCTGATCTTGAAAAGTTATTAAATAAAAATGTAGCACTAGTGAAAAAATCAACATAAAAACATGTGTCAGCATCAGCATAAAACATGAAAGTCATAGACAGGTCATATTATGTATCATAAACTAAGGAGAAACAAATCTCATCCTTGTTGTCTTAGAGATAAAGCTTAGATTTGTGTGTTGTGGTAAATATACATACATTCTCTGTTATCACATTGTTGTGACGTAAAAAAGAGGTTGTGTAAGTGTGATATAAGTTCAGTAGTGTCATGTTCCTAAGACATGTAGAAAGGAAACGTTATATTTAGCACCTTTTGAAAGAAAGTGAAAATGTGTTGAAGATTAAAGCTTGTCTGCACAGCGAAATAAAATCCTTTATAAGATTTATTTTCGTTGTGTGGTCGAGTTTATTTTACGTTAAAAGTAATACATACATACATAACTTCACGCCTGTCTCCCATGGGGGTAGGCAGAGACTAAGGAATGTAAAGTTAAAAGTAATTGAAATAAAGATATATATATATATTAATAATAAGTAAGCTGCAATACTTAACACGTGCCGTATAGCCCGTATAGTAAGAAAGTTCCTGCAGATAGATGAAAATAAAGTCCAACCACCATTACCGCTCTCATCACCACCACCTTTAGCATAACTACCGATAGATAACAATAGACCTCTAGCAGAATAAATACTTCATTTATATGTCCTTCATTTGGTGGTTGACACCCGTGAAGGATATTAAAGCCGGCCTTATGGCTGAGAAAGAGAACAATCTCTTAAATAATAATAATCTTCATTACGCAAAAAAGTATACATTAATTTGACTGTGTACTAGGGAAATACCTGTATCACAGAGATCAGAGCCTTCGTGTATTGTAAATGAAGCCGGTCAATCAGAGCGCCGAACACGGTCTCGTTTTAATTACTTTCCCAAAACCCTCAGGTTCATAAAGTTCGGCAACGCGCGAACTACTCATCCATCTTGTATAGACGTACATTATGACAAAGTTTACGGTAGTACACTGGCGAAATCGCTATCCACCCTATATCTTAAAGGTAGCCCTGCCTTCCCTGCGTTCGCTGGCGCTGAGTGCAAGCGAATATGACCTAATCCAAGACCGCCAACATTGTCGATTGTAGTACATAGGATAAGGTAGAAAGGCAGTTATCATATCCAAGTAGGCAGTATGGCTGTCATTGCATGGAAAAGGTTTTTTTACATGGAGTCTGTCATTCTAATCATGATTTTGAATCCTTTTAAGATATGTAATAATTTGTCGAACTGATAAGTTTTCTGCATTGCAATTTATGCTATCTGACTGGGAAAAGAAATAGAAACTCTGTTCAGCTCACCTAGAGTTTGTTATCGATTACACAAATGAACCATTATTCTTTTTAATGAGGAAAATACGACATAAGTCGTAATAAGGTAAATTCGCCTGTTCGCGTCCACTCAAAAAGGTTTGCCTGTTCGCTTCCACCCATCAGTTTGTGTCTATTTTACTGATTGCCATGAATATAAGATACTGAAAACGTTACGATCAAACCAATGTATAATAAGTAATAACTACTACTTATACGAACAGGTGAACTTACCCTACCTAGATTAACTTTCCGTCTCTTTCGTTTTCATGTTTTCACACTTTCTAATTTGAAGTTGTTTCTAGGCTATCAATCAGAACCAATCCATTTAACGGCTAAAATTAAAATTCATATATTATAATACTATATTATTTTAAATTAACTCAATAATGAGGTTTTCTTAATCATAAGGTATTTGGCTGTTTGTAACAGCTGTTCCCATTTTTATATGTATATTTAAAACAACGTATTATGCATGCTGAATTTATTTTAATAACTATTTGAAATATTTTAGCAGGCTGTACATTTTTTTATACTTATAATAACAAAGAAGTTTTAAATATTTAATTTTGGTATTTAGGTCGATATGCGCGCCAACACCATCCAATAGTTACATTAAACTAAACTGCACCAAAAATGTGTTTGATAAAAACCATAATTTACTACTATCCCAATCTTATTACGAAAACTTGACTTTAAAGAAAACACGGCTGTTTGTGTCATTTAAAAGTGAAAATTTTGTTATAAATCTGTCAAACATCTAAAATTACCTACGAATTTAAACTTCAATGTATGTAAATGTTTACAAAGATGTAACTAACATGTGATAGTTTGTATAAATATCCGGAATTCGACGTTCTCCTATCAAAATAATTTCCATTGTCTAGCTTATTGTTGCATAAACGTGCATCATATTAAATCTACGTAAGGGTATTTCTAATACTAAGAGAATATTCAAGATGTTGTAATAAAACAGTCAAAGTAAACTTGGTCACATTGTCGAATGCAAGCAAAATTGAAATCAGACATGGTTACAGTAGAAAGTAAAAGAAAAGGAATAAAAAGTTTCGCTCTAATTATAATTAGAGCGAAACAATAATTATTGTTTACATCTCGGTTAGAAGATGTCGCGAATCCCTTTTAAACTATTTGACATTCTAAAATCGTATCTAACTAAAATAGTCAAATCTAAATGGCATTGGTTAGTAATATCCTTATTTTTAATCGATACCGATATAAATATCAACACTGGCTGAATAAATTATCAACAAATTCAAATATGGAATTCAGAGCCAAAATATTTTTAAAAATGGCGGTTCGGCCACGTCGTTGATGTCACGTAGGTCGAGAGTAGGAGGTAAATGGAGCTTCGTCATCTACCAAAATATGGCGTAATTATCTGCTGCCAGTGACTCCGATTCTTAATACGTCTGCGTTAAGTCTGACGTGGCCTTTACAATTTTGGGAAAGCATCTTGTCATATATATAAATATTCAGAGATAACGTAAAGTAGTTGATAAATAATATAAAGTAAATACTAAATAGCGATTGCCAGGGTCTTAGATAAATATTTTCGAAGTTATCTAAAGCTTTTTGATAATGTACCTAACATCTTTCGAATGGGTTTTTGCGTCTTCTGTTTTTTTATTCCCGGCAGCTTTGCCTGCGGTATGCGAAATTTTACAAAGTATACAATTTATATATTTCTGAAATCAATGACACTATCCTTTGGTAAGAATCGTTTTAAAATCCGTTCAGTAATTATTGAGTTTATCGCAATTCGCAATTAAGCAGATGCGGTAAGAGATTTTATTTTATAGTAGGTATGTATAAAGAAGGCATATTTTAGTCTAGATACAGCTTATTTTTGTTTAATTTGGCTAATAGTTATCAACCGGAAAAATATGCATATCATCCTCGGAACGAATTGCCAAAACAAATGTATAAATAGTGTACACAAAATGTTGGTATTGTTTTATGTACATCTGTTGGAGCTCGGCACTGGGTTCAAGGTTACATGATAACAGTTTGTTGATATAGTCTGCTTTAATTACCTATGTGAAAAGGTGCGATAATTTCAAAATAATAACTAGGTTTTAAGGTATAAGTCTGCACTTGAAAAACTACGAATAACTGCAATTCATTTCCCAACTCATTCGATCTTTATTGAAATTTAGTCCTCTAGTCTCTTATGACCTTACTAGCACCACAATCAGCTGTGGTATTCTTTCTATATAAACCCAACCTGAACATTTCAGTTGAAGTTTTTTCTTTTATCGTTTATCTACCCGATATAGACTGGGATTTTTTTTAGTCTTTTATAGTTAAAATGTTGATGCTCGAAAATTCCTTAATGCCTTTGACTGCCGACAGAAAATTGGTGAAGGCAAATCCTCTGCTGACGTAGGTAGATCACCACTGACTTACGAGACGGTTAACGTGTTAAGTAATTCAATTCAAAAGTCTCGTTAGTTACTTGATTTTTCTCACGGCAACCGCTGTACATATTTGCAGTGCATTACTGCTACTCGCTGAATAAGAACTGTTTTATTATTTTAAATATTAGTTGTCATCAGAAACACTCAGCTAAAGTACGTTTCCTAATGTTTCACACGTTCATTAAGTTTCGCAATTATCAACCTGTATCACATGTGCATGAGTTCGATACTTGATGGATGAGTTAGTTTTTGTTGTCGTGCTATTTACGAGTCAAGGTGACCTATCACTTTTACTGTAGTATCACCCTCTTTTAACTGACTTAAAAAAAGATGATCTTCTTTGTTAATTCCACTCCTTTTCCCACAATAAACGTGTCAGTTGATTTTAGTAATTAAAAACGTTACCATTATGGGATTTAATTTGAATGGAATTATTTATCGATCACAGCGTATCGTAATTCTAGAAGTGTCGATATGGATTCTAAAATAACAAATCGACAATTTAATCAGATTTACATTATCAGTAACGTAAGCCATATGGTCGTCACGTCATCACATTTAGGCGGTAATTGCATGCAAATGGGCGGAAGTCTGATATGACGATACATCTAACAAGGTGGTTTTAAATGGCGTGAAAACAGGGGGGTTTTAAGTAGTGCAATGTAAGATAAAAATGACTAAACATTCTTAAAAGGTATTATTTGTAGAGGTAAAGTAAAAGAAACAGAAGTTATCCATCAAGGATACGCATCAATATGGAACTAACGCTAATGGATGGCAAAGAGATTCTCGGCGAAATCACCTAACTAGAGGTATTTAATCTTGTTGCCAATAGACACTGATCACTCGTGGATTATCTAGGCACGTGTATCATAGAGTAATCCGTAGAAACGCTCGCAGATGTCCTAAAAGGTTCTAATACGATTTTCTCGTTTCTACACTTTATTTTACATAATCGTCCTTTCTCAGTCATAAAATAAATATATTTATAGAACTAAGGTCCTATGGTTTTATGGGAGTATATTATTGTACTTTTAATAATGCCAATGCTTAATAAATGATGCCAGGTGCAATTTATATACCTGCCATATAATACCGCAACTCAATATCTCGAGGATCTATAACGGATTTCCCAGTAAAACTGATAAGTTACGATATTAATAACAATATTATTATTATTACTCTCGCGAAGTTATCAAATTAATAATGAGATAACGGGGAAATTATTATTAGAGGTTATTGTTATAAGTGTGACAAAGTGATAATGAAGATAGATGTCACGTCACTACTTTGAAAAATAAAGCTGTTTAAAGCAAGATTTATCGATGAAAACTATTATTGTACTGTAAAAGGACACAATACTCACTACCTCTGTTATTTTTCATAGGCTTTTCGTTACTTTATTAGTTATAATTTCACATTGTCTGACGCAATTCCGACTCCATATTGTTACGGAAAATTACCTGACTCGAGGATTGAAATTTTTTAAGCCCCGTTCGTGCTAGACAATAAAATCTTAATGGTGATCAATTTGTTGTGTTATACATTATATCATAATAACTTCTGCCAGCGGCTGGCTTTGTTCCCTGGCCAATGTCCTAATAATCCTAGACCATAATCCATTCTTGTTCCATATATCATTTAATTTTCACGTGTAGGAGTAGGTAACAAACAAAGAAACAAACATACAAACGTCCTTAGACTTGGCCACAAGCATTTTGCATCCTTTGTAAAACAGTTTTACACAGTAGAGGATGCAAAAACTAAGTGGTAAACTGTAGAGAGGCAATAAATAAAACCCCTTTGACCATAAAAGGCGTATCGTTCCATGTAAAAGACTGAATTTAAATCTGATTTCGTTGCCCGTTGATCGGTTCTTAAATCATTTTGAAAAAATCGTTACACATAGATTTAATAAATAAATAATCGGTGGAATGGAAATGCGTGCCCAAGCTATTCGTGTCATGTTTTCCATTTTGTGGAATCGTGGTGGCTGACTAGAGCTTAACAAAAAGTTTTTCAGACCATTGGCCACGACACATTCGATTTACAACAATTTGTAATACATATACATTATTCAGTAGCCACAGATGATATTTATTCGTGTCAACACAATTTTAGATTGTTAAATTATGGTTTATTTTTACGGAAAATTCCCGTTCGATTTAGGAGTTGTTTAAAAGTCGATTTATCGAATTCACACTGACATTCGACTAATTATGTCAAAAATTACTTATGTCAATATAAATATACAAAATTCAATATATGGCACTTTTGTATTCCTTCGTTAGGACGTTTTCTTGCTTTTAAGACTAAAATAAGAGTTTATGAAATGTTCTAAGCACAAAACAAATTTCTTTACCCATTTGAGTCGACGAAATTTTTGCATGGAATTCTTCTTTTTATACAGACGTCAAGCTATACAAACTAGTATAAACTGACTGTCGAATGTGCGGAATGATCATACAAAGCTAGACCATGATATATTGGTATTGTATACCTTGATGTGCAGCCAGTACATCATCATAGTCTTGTACCAAAATACGTCGTATCTGCGTAAAGTATCGTGGGAAACGGCTCAGGTGTTCATATTGACAAATATTTGCTTTGTCCGTGAAAGTGATTATCTCTGCGCTAAAAGTACACGTGTTTCTTCGTGAATGTGGCGGAATTTATTATACTTTGTAATATTTTAAATGCATGTGCATAATGTAAATATTTAATTAATGAAGTAAGAATATTTTGCCAGTAGTAGTGGTTTAGTTTTGGCTGGGTATATTATAGTCTCTGTTTATTAAAAAGGATATTAGAGTGATTCAAAATAGCAGAAATTGGCTATGGCAATATTTATTGATTAATAAAAATTATCTAAATTGTATATTGTTGTTATTCTGTCACTACAATATCCTTTTTTAAACTAATTGTATCATAGATCTAATGTTAATGGATGGTATGGTAAAAAGTGTACTATTTTCTTCAAATTGCATGTCAGTGATAGTATGGGAGTAGTTTTTAGTTTTAAAACCAGCCATGATTACAGGCAGTGAAACTAAATATACCAGTGGTGGGCAAACTATCTTCATTGAGGAGATCACCCATTTTTTTAAGGGATATAATCATCCAATGTCCTCTCCCGCCTGGGTGAGGCGAGAGGGAGTGTCAAACTCTTACTGACTAAAATCTAACCTAACGTGTTACCGAAGCCCCGGTAACACGTTAGGTTATCCTCAGTTCCGGTTAGGGAGATGACCCCAAGGGTCGTAGTTAACCCACCACTGGTTTTGTCTATGTTTAGACGACAAACATTTTGCTGGTAAAAAATACATAATTATATGAAATGATTCGGCGTTTGGCCACTGTAATAAATTATGCAAGAAATTGAATCACTATTTCGAAACACTTGTTGTCTGAACATATCAAATTGCAAATACCTAAGCATAATAAAGGCCTAATCATCAGATGCATGCATCGCCATTTTATATTCAAAATGGCGCCATTTTAACTGTCAAAATTGGCGCCATTTTAACTGTCAAAATTGATTGATCCACTGTTCATAATTATTTTAATTTTTTTTTTGATAAGAAATAATAAGAAATTAAATGTTTTACGCAGCTCGCAAAGAGAAGGAGAAAAAAAACAACCGTTATTTGGGAGCATCCGGGATATGAAGTGAGAAGAATAGACGTATAGTTCTAGAATAATTTTATTGGCGTTATCGGGACTTAGAATAATTCAATGTTCCTTCAGAGGCCTTAGTACGAGTTTCATTTACGTTTAAAGTATTCGTAACGAGTACGCATTCGGCACTCTGATTGGCCGGCGCCAATGAAGCAACCAATCAGAGCACCGAACGCGTACTCGTTACGATTACTTTAAACGTAAAACAAACTCATACTAAGGCCTCAGGTCACTCTGTTTTGCGTTAGGGACTTAATTTATTGTGGGTAAAAGGACAGGAGGATAGCCCTACTTGATTTAAAAGTACGGGATTTTTAAGTATAGTATTTATTTAGAATAGTCTATCCTGACTTTAAACGGAGTGTAGACTGCTTTATATTTTTGTTTTTACTTTTTCTAAAGAACTTTCTTACAGCTCCCCTTGTATCAGAAGTAAGACAAATTCAGAGGCAGACTTCCTAATACTCTTTTAAACTGAAATTATTAAACTATTGTTATACTCATTGTTATTGAAATTGTAAGCATTCGACTATTTTTCATCATTTTTTGTTATAACCTCTATTTTATCCTTATTGTTAAATGTTAGTAACTTCCTTATAACGTCAACTTATTTTAAATTCATCACAAGACTTAAATATTTATTGAAAAACCCAGTGAAGTGTTGAGCTTAATAATTTTTATGTAGGGCAAAGCTGAGCGTCGTTGGGTATCGATTTCAAATCCCAGTCGTGTTGATAATTACGGAGTAATTGTGGAAAGCTATTATTATTAATGTCAGTCTACGTTCATGTTAGTTATTAATTGTAATGGATATGACTGACACGCCACTTTTATTGTTATAAGGCAGACAGTACTTACCCCCTAAAATACCTAACCTAATTAATCTTAAATTGAGCAAAACGATCAGCCATAGGAGGTCCACTGCTGAACATAGGCCCCTATGGCTGATATGATGATAATGATGATAACGATCAATTTCTGATTTAGTGCCTGAACAATAAACACAATGCTACAATTTTTTACATTCTGACGTTTGAAATAACGAATGAACAACACAAGAACAATATAGGTCTTCCAAAATTAAAATTCTAAATTTCTTTTGTTTTTTTTTATTTTTGCTTTGACCTTGAGACGTTCAGCCTTGCCCTTTATTTTGTGTCGTGTTTAGACTAAGGTTAATTGATAAGTAATTAGTTAAAACAGAAAAACAAGGCATTTGAACACTAATGAATTGACGTTTCCGTTCTTGTGCCTATATTACAATATTTGGATGACTAGATTTAATTATCTGTAATAAAATCGTGTTAAGAAAAAGTTGAAGTGAAAAAAATCTGTGTAATTAAAAAAATATGTATTCGATATTCGATTGTCGATACTTTTGCCAAATTGTATTACACCAGTTTCGATGGATTCATATATCCCACATAATTGGAATTGAATTTGTCTATATTGTAAATTTTTTATGTAAATAATGAAGAATTTCTAAAAAGTTACACGTGTCTACGTTTAATTGAAATTGGCTTAAAAGATCCATAATATTTATTTTCTCTAGTCATATTTGAGCAATAACAGCGTGCAATAGCCTATGCCCTCCATTTTAGCCATTTTAACGTTTATTTTAACTTCAAACGACTAAAACGAAAACTACAGTTTTATTGGTTTCTATAAATTTTATAGCCTAGATGCTAAAATTTTTACTTACTGCTATTTTCGTTATCATTTCTTATATTTACTTAGTGATCTATACAGCAATACACATAATGAAAGTCTTGTATTATCTGTGCAGTTTGGGCTCTTGGAAAGGCGGCAAAATTGTAACCAAACTATAGGCGAGTTTGTCTTGCGTTAGATACAGATAAAATAAAATCTTAAAACAGAATTAGATGATAGGTTTTTTTTTGAGAGGCATAAAGAAATTGAAGTTTGAAATGTATTTATTTAAAACAGTCTGTATTCTAACATTGTTTGGACACATTTAATTCAAGGTTGATAACATTGATACAATCTCAATTGTAATTGGCCGTTGTCCAAAAAACTAAATTAACCAAAAGTCATTGTAGTTTTGTATCGGTAAAATAGAACAAGCGATCTACATGCAAAATTGTATACTATAGATTTATAGATAGCAAGTTTTCTTTGTTTTTTGCAATGAATTTTGCTGTGTGTAAATGTTAAATATCTTGAGAGTCACCTATTACAAACATAACATGTTTAATTGTCTTGTGTGCAATGTCTTTGTTCTTTAAAACAGTTTAAAATAATGTAGAATACCTACAAGTCAATTTAGTCACAAACGATGATGATACACTGATAAGTATTACTAGCTGTAATAAATAAATATTTAACATGTTATGGCAACACTTCAATAATTTAGCTCCTTTCGCAGTTATTTGTGATCGCTCCTTTACACACATAAATTAATTAATTTGTGTAATAAAATGATGTAACTATTTATTGTCTTTTTTGTTTCTATTAATGTGTGCTCAATTCTATAATGTATTAATTTGTCCGTGACGTACAAGAGCTGTAAAGAATTGGCCATTTTATTTTTTGATTTTGTTTATTAATATTTGTAATGTAATTATAATTTTGTAATAGGCATCTATAATTTTTATATATAATATATTGTTTTTGTTCATTGTATTGCTATGAATTGTTTGTTAAATTTCCGTTTCAATGATTGTAAAACTATGATGAGAATTATTTATTTTCACTCATTTCCAGCTTTTACTCACTATACGAAGCAGTTGTACCGAAATATTTAATTTACAATCAATTTCGCTAAAACTATCCAGTGAAATTGGCTTCGTAAACGACTTTTGAGCCATTTGCATTCCATGTACTGATTGTTACGATTAATTAATCCTTATCGGTACAATAAAATCGACGCTCCGTTCGAGTTACGATCGTAACGTTTTATTGATTGCTTTATGCAAAAACAAATATAAAATAGCGTAATGTATTAGTATAAACGTCTGTGATTTTTTAGATTCAAATATCATGACAATTTCATTTTTATTTAATTTAATTTTGAATTAAATGTATTATCTTTTTGTTTGTGTTTTATTGATGTTTATAACCTCTTTTGTACCCCTTTCCTTAGTGTTACAGATTAAAAAAGAGTTTGAGCGCGAAAATGTTTTAGGTGTGGTAAAGTTTGCTAGTTATTCTTGTGTTAACAATAAAATTGCAAAATTAACTGCTATTGTGCGTTTGCAGATTTATGCACTAACACGATTCTTACCTACACGCTTTGAATTTAATTGTTTCAATTTAAATTGATTTGGTTTTCAGGTCTCTCAACGAGAAACCAGTATTTCTGTCATGCGCAAAAGGATCGACATGAGAACAACTATTTTATAATTATTTATTACTTTATATCACATTTTATAATTTTACCCAGTTTTTAATATATTTTATAGCTTTTAAATTGTTTTTCAGTTATAAGTTTCTTTAACATTTCAGCACTAATGGAAAAAAGCACCAGTTTGGACTTTTAACAGATTGCTTAAACTTGTTTTTATCTTTTTTTATTTTTAAAATTAAATTATATTAATTTTTAAATTTTCTTTAAAATTTTTATTTTCTTGTCCGTCTGGTAAATTATTTTAAATCATTTTAAATCTTTAGACACGTTTATTTTTTTTTTCAGAAACGATTACTTTTACGATATATTGATTTGAAAAGTCGCGTTATGTCACTTCTATGTCCACTCCCACTCCTAAATTTTGATTTGTTATATCTAAGTATAATTTTATTACACATCAAAATAAAAAAATACGTGTCTAATATGTTTTCATTACCTAACTGACGGACTAATTACATTTTTAATTTTCATACCCTGTCATCATCCCTATTCTTCCATACTGATAATTTATTGTGAAATGTCAATTTTATTCAACAGTTAAAAGTTAGGTAAGTATCTGTTGATTGAAAAATCGGCCATAAGTTAATTAGCTGTTGTTTAATAGAACAAGCGATAATATACCTCTAAAGAATGTTAATTGAAAATTTGATACAGTTTAAAGCGACATGCACAACAGAGCAGACATTGACATCTACGTCCAATTTATGGATCAGAAAATATAACTTTTGGTCTACTAAGATCCGAATATTGAAAGGCTACTCAATTTTAAGTTGTACTCAAATATAGTGCCATCTCTGTCATTTTACAAATAATTTGTAGAGATAGAATTATACTAAAGCGTGTCTTAAATTTGAGTAGGCCTTATTACAGACTTCGTATGGAACATACTCAAATTGTTAAAACAACAGGCCCTAACAATAAAATGAATGGAAAGTCTTGCTACCTATTTAATCTTATACGTAGATATCTTATACTATTATATAAAGCCTAAGAGTTTGTTTGTTTGAAGGCACTTGTCTCAGGAACTATATGTCTGATTAGAATTTTTCTTTTTGTGTTGGATTTGGATAGTGTTTAACGAGCAAGGCTACACGCGATAAAACATCACACTAAGATCAATAGGAGCCGAGCAGAGCAATGCAATGCAATTTGACTGCATGGTTGGTGTGGTTGCTGGGCAATTGATGAACTCTGTGTGATCCATCCACAAATTGTTGCCGGGCTGGGTGTCATGTGTATGTGAACTTGTATGTTTCTAAACGCACCTACAACACAGGAGAAAAGTGTGTGGGGCAACGGTAAAAAAACTAAGCGGGTGCAACGACGTGGGAGTAGTCAGTTTTATAATAATAGGTACAATAATTGCTTTAGGTACCTACCTATTAATTTTTCGCATATAACTTCAGGAAACATGTTATGCAGAATTGCAAACACTAATAATGGTCTGTACAATTTTCCTCAACATGCTCATAATATTCGTGTGTGATAATTTTATTTACAGCGTTCAAGGTAAATAAATCAGTTTTAATTAAATATTGTTGTCTCGTGTCGTTTTTTAAATTCACTGGTTTCTCATGCAACGCGTTATAATTTTGTTACGCGCGCTATTTACCTACTTGGATGTTCCCCAAATTCGAAGATATCATTAGAGAACTTTAATAACTAATAATTTCTCCTTCCAACTGGTTTTAACTTGGCCAATTATCTGTTAACTCCAATGTGAATAGAGATAGAAATAGAGATCTATACCGTTAAATCTTAGCATAGGTACCTACCTAATACGGACGTTTCCGCTGGGCTAACAGACTCGGCGTATCGAAATATGGATATCCAGACTTCGAAAGGCGTGCACAGAGGCTCATCAATGGTGATAATACGCTTGTGCAGGCCCGGCTTCAAAGCGTCGAACACAGGCGTAAAGTTGCAAGCCTAAGTATCGGTTTTCTACGGGATGCATTTCGGTAAGTGTGCGGAGGAATTGCACAACTTGATTCCTCCTAGTCTTTTCCATCATCTTCCCACTAGACAGTCGGCGAAATGTCACCGATTCATGGTGGATGTCTCGCCCGTGCGTGCTGCTAAGGAGTGGAATTCTTTATCAGAGTCTGTGGTTCCTGAACGGTATACCTGTGTCTTGAAACACCGGCTCCCGGTATAAACACATTATGGCCGCAAACTGTCAACAGACAAGAGGTTAAAGGCCCAAGTAAATAGACTTATGGGACGACGTGCTCCATCGTAGTCCGTATTATCGTTTACCACCAGGCGAGATAGTGGCCAAACGTTGGCCTATCCAAAATACAATAATTGGCAATCCGAACATGTGAAAAAGGTACTTAGAATTAATTTTTAACACTGGGAGGTTGGTTATAAAATACAAACACAATGTATGTAGGTGAGTAATTTACCAAGGAAGGTGACGCCAACCTGTCTGCGTGTTAAACCCGGCATTCTTTTTTTTTTTTTTTCTTTATAATATTAAAGATTATTTCTCCACGGACTCTAGGTCCGTGCCCTTGTCATACAGTTTTTTAATTATAATACATCTAGTCAATATTTATAAAGTAAAGAGGGAACCTAGTTACATACTACAATTAACTACATCTATAATTATTAGCAAAAGTATAGGTTAGATAATAATTAGGCACTATTTATTTATTTCTATTTCAAAGGCTTTATGAAACCAGCCCACCAACACGATGGGAGAGCCGACCTGACCCAGCAGAAGGCACCCGTTCACGAGTATGACGTGTGTGTCAGCAATTGGTCCGGTCAACCTTTTTATTGGGAACGGAACAACCCAACACACAGCGCCACCGACTGTAGGACATTTATGTGTGCATGACGCCTCAACCCTTGCCACATGGGCCGATTCCAATAAAGCGTACAATAGTCCAAAATTCAATTGGTCATATTCTATTTCTACATGTTTCTGCACACACATTTCCTCATGTTGCATTCGTTCCATCACAAGCAACACTCCCCGCCCAAGAGAGCACCCACGACTGCCGCGTCCCTGTGTTTGATGGCCATTTTCAGGTTGTAGTCCTTAATACCTTGCTCACCCTCATCAGCCGCCTTCCTGATTAGTTTGCTTATCGCGTCTTCACTGTTGTCTGTGTAATAGATGCAACCATGCGTGTGACGCGATATTGCTACTACCGCGTGTGGTACGCTGTCATGTATTTGATGTTTCTTTGTTGCTGTGTTGACAACAATCACATTCGCACACGAAAGTCCCTGTGCCTCGTGTATCGTGAGCACGCGTGATCCCACGGTCGACCCGTATCCCTGGTTCTTAAGGGATTCCTTCTCTGCCTGAGTGTGTACCAGGTATAAAGTGTCGGGGAGTGACTTTGGAATCATCGCCCCCGAGAACCTTTTTATCTCGAGGGATCTCACGAACGACCTGGACGAATATATGCCACTGTAAACTGTGCTGAGGGCATACGCCACATCCATTGGATTTCTGTGGGTACACATCAATTCCTGGCTTATGGGCGTGATATATGTAGGGCGGCTGTAGAGTAGAGGGAAGAGGTTATCACGATCTATAAACGGAAGCTGATTTATGTCACCAATTAGAAGGACTTCCTTGGCTCGAGTTATTCGGGCGGCCATCACAACGGCTCCAAAGTGGTTCATGAGAGCCTCATCTACCATTAGGCGATGGCAGCTCTCTCGCTCCCCCAAGCCGTTTACTAGGATGGACGCCATTGTTCGAACCCTAGATTTGACGAGTCCTCCGATTCGGCAGGATAGTTTGCCTCTGAGGTCATTTGCTGCTTCGGTTGTCGTGGTGACAATTAGATCAGAAAAAAAAAACCCGGCATTCTACAACGCTGATTAATTACCTTAATAGCTTATGTTACCTATAAATAGGACGTAGTACTGAACTTTTATCAACAATGCTGTGCTCTGCGTCACCAATGCACTACGTGATCTTTGCCAAGTTTGCTAACTTACAAGTTGTTTACCCTTCTCAAGTGGGGTGGATGATGCATCACTTTGTTTGTATTGTAGTGATATTGTATTTGTTTTTTACCTGTTAAGTAGGTATTCCCCCAGCGAGGATTTCTTATAGTCTGTTGTGTAATTTTAAAGAAATAGGCTCATCACCTATTAAATGGTATTCAGATCATAAATAGTGAAAAGTGGGTGTTACATTGTACAGTGGCATTAAGTGCCGTAATGTGCACCTCTGCCTACCCCTTCGGGGATAAAAGGCGTGATGTTATACTATGTAATTTAGAATGCTTTGTTTCGGTTAATCGATTAACAACAGTCGGAAGACGAGAACTGCTGAACAAAGGCCTCCTCTTTAGTCCTTCACTTCGTGCATCCATCATAACCGTCTACAGCTGACGTGTAGTCCCACAGACACCGCGAAATACAAAATCACGTGTTATACCGTCATTTTTCAAATACGAGCATCACTGCTGCGAGTAGGTACCTTACTGTATAGTGCTCGCTATACTTTAATTCTACAAAAATATTTGCTGTTGAAATGGTGTCTGGTATAATATACACCTCAGTTGAATTGTAACAATTTAACCACGTCAGTTGCAGAGGGATAATTATCATCATAAATTTTTGACTTCATAGAAAGTAACGTATACCTTTGTCGCGGAGAACCTAACAGGTTACCGGGGCTCCGGCTCGACGTGCAGGAGAAGGAACGGGGTGGTTTTTTTTACCCAGGCGGGAGCAGTCATTCGATGATTTTCCCCCCTTAAAAAAAATGTATGTAGTAAAACCGGTTATTTTAAAATTACAAATAGATACTTTAAATTCATTCATTTGTATAGATGTACCTATACATTTATTTGATTTATTAATCATTTTTGTTAATATTTTTTTTTGGTGACAGGTCAAAAGGGTTTATCGGCAAACGATCTTAAAACACGGTGTTGCTCTTTCCAGTCCAATGCTTGAAATTCAACTTTATGTCAATAAGGTAAGGCTGAAAAGGAGATTGTCGTATCTAGCTATAAAATGTATATCTTAACGAATTGATGAATAGGTATAGAATAACCTATAGAGTCCCAATTCGAAATTCAGCCGATGATTCAGAATTACTTATTCAGAAATCAGATACCTAGAGGTACACACCTAATTCATTATTATTGCAGTCATGATAAGTATTTATTTATTGGTTATCGCGCAATAGCAGTAAATCAGAAAATGATTAAGCTTAAAATCCTTGTTATTGTCCGTCTATTTTTTTTTTTTAAATAAAACTTTGCCTCATTCTGGGATTTTCTCCTATGTCGTGGGTGCGTTTACAAACATACAAGTTCACGTACACAATGACACCCAGACCCGAAACAACAATTTGTGGATTGCACAAAGTGTTGTTCCGTGCGGGAATCGAACCCGCGAAACGTTGAACGGCAGCCGGTTGCCCAGCCTCCGCACCAACCGTGCAGTCTATGTTTTGACTATCCGACTTCCAATGTCACGAATCTTCAATACAGCCTGAGTAACCGATGAATAAATAGTTTAATACTATGACTAACTTACCAGTTCGTCAAGATTATCAGGAACATCAGCTTGCAGCAATGCTCGTACAACTAACTAAACTAAGTATCTAATTAACTATATGTAATATCGAAAGTGGATGACCATTGTCATTCAACATCAATCTACACAACCTTATTATTGTAAAAAAGACGTATCATGATCACTATCAATAATTACTGTATTTGAGTAGTTTTTCTTTAGTAATCAACTTCAGAAAAAAATACATTAGCTCCATAAAAAATGTATGAATATCACTAGTACCAGATATACAGCTAAATAGATTATTGTGTAAGTTAAATTTTATCATCATCATCATCATCATCATCATTATCATCATCATCATTATCATCATCATCAACAGCTTATAAATGCCCACTGCCGACGAGCAAAGCCTCTTCTCAGTCTCACACGGAGAAAGGCTTGACCATTAATCACCACGCTTGCTTAATGCGGATTGGCGATTTCAAACTCATAATTAGAAATTAAGTTGTTATGTTATGTTATTTCTGAAAATCTGCCTCGATGGTTGGGGGCCACCCATGACCCTGTCTTGTTGCTATAGTAGTTATAAGTATTTTAAATTTAAAATGTCAGATATTTACAAGATAGAGCGAGGAAAGGAAAAAATGAGTAGGTACCTACGAGGTTGCTAGAAATAAAAACAAAATCTTTATTTTGGGAACGGAATCGTTTATTGAACCCATCTGTAATAGTAGATAATTAAATTATACTGTTACTCTACACGTTTTGTACTGTTCAAAGTACCTACCTATGTCAAGTATTCCTAAATACTTAGGTTAAAATGTACCGACAAATGCACCCAATACCGAGTAATTTTCTTAAACATCTTTAAATTTTTTTCAGTTGTGCTTCAAATTCAGTGGTAGCTACCAATCACAGTACCATTTGGATCCTACGATTAAACACATGGATATTTTTATTTCCTATGAAATATGTAACGACATTTTTTATTATTTTTTTAAACCATAGATTATGACAGATGACACTAATGTATGACAGGGTTAACGGATTGGTCATTTAAAAACATACATTTCGATTTCGGAACAACGGTCGTCATTCAGCTTACAATGGAAAGATCCAAGAATTTTACTTGCAGTAATAGTAACTTACAATTAATAAGGATTTTACACATTTTGTTTGGATACAAACACGTATTGTGTAAACTTACCGCACGTTTAAATAGTACACATTGTTTACAATCGTATAAATTCGTTAATAATATAATTAAGAGTAATTTGAATATAAACATTAGTATTAAAACATTAATCATGCAAGTAGATATTCGTTCCTTAGTACAAGTTCATACATCAGTGTGTGTATCCAAAACAACTAAAGGGGACGTCTTTTAAATTTCAAATTAGGCATTACATCGTAGCCATTAGTAGCTTACACTAAATAAGTTAATATTTTAGATAATATCGATCGAGTCGTCGCTTCGTTTACATTAATTAATAATAGGTATAATTTTTCCTTATTGTCTTCATTCTTCACCATTAAAAAAAAGCTGGGTATGAAATAATTGCCAATAACAAAAAAGGACAGTGTTGCAGCGTAACAAGTGGCGGAGAAAAATGTTTCGTGTAAAATCGCTTTGGTTCAGCCATTTAAAATAACAATACAATAATAAAGTGTACATTTAAGCCAAGGTTTTTAACCGCGTCCAAATAGAATAATTTTACAGATATAACGTAATAGCAAGACGCTATTGTCAATGGTAAAAATAACAAACGAATGGTAAGATTTTATGCAAATAAGTATTATTCACAGAAATGTTAAAAACAGTATTACATGATATATCTATGGTATTATCAGATCATGATATAATGTGAGTTTTGTAAAAGTATTTCATTTTATACGACAACCCTATAGAGCACTTATTTGGCTTTAGGGTCGTACAAACTTAGAACAATATAATTATCGATATCGATAAAAGTAATAATTACTTATTTAATTATTTATGAATAGAAATCATCATCATCATTTGTTATTATTACCAATTATTAAATTATAATGTATCGTTGCCTTAATAAATAATACAAATTCATGATATGTACCTAAGTATACACAGAAAAGATCGACAATACGCAAATGATACAAAATAAATAGCATATCGATGACGTCGTAATAATTATATACATACATTTAACATACTTTAGTACCCTTCGATTTTAATGGATCTTTATAAATGGTTATTCGATTGTTATAGATGACTATTCTTTAATCGATAAGTAGTTTCTAGTTCGATAAGTAAATTGTAATCGATATTTACATAAGTACCTATTATTATGATTATTACGCAGAGATCACGCGATTGGATCATCTGTCCCTTTCCGATTCGTTACTCAACACTTTTGTGCAAAAGAGAGGGCTTCAGTGATCGATTCGCGCGATCGAGTTTACGTGACAGGTGCACAGACTCTGCTAGACAGAACTCCACCCTAGGTCCAACGTTAACGCTTCGTTCGGTTAGAAAGGAATCCATTTAAATGTATATGAAAATAAGTGGGACTTACAGTATATACAAAAATATCACATTACTTCGAGGCCGCAGCTTTCAATCACTTAGTCAATTAATTATTTCGTCTTCTTACCTAAGTTGTCGGTCGTTGGTACGAAGCGTAAGCAAGTTAACGCAGGAAGTAATCGATCCAAATGAATACTATTGTAATGTGAAGCTGTCTCCGCCTGCCGGAAGCCTTCCCTTGCCTAAGCGCAAATCACTCAACAGCTCCGACGGCGCGCGAGATACATCAGTAACATTATTGCTGAACGAGTCAGTCGCGTATGAACTAAACATTTTCCAATTATACATTATCATCGCATCTGTGCCTTTTATGCGTTAGTCTCCTCACACCTACTAACGAATATCTAGTAAGAATTTCTTTTAATAGACTAGGTGCCTCGTCATAGATCTACTAATCCAAAGTGAGTACTACGACACCTACGAGATCTAGATTTCGAAGCAGAAGTATCTAAAAAGCTGCAGCCGGCAGATCGCGCAGCCGTCGTCGACGCTGCACTACAAACATAATCGGCCGACACGCGTCCGACGGCGACGATGTCGTCACCGTCAGCATCGCCACCGCGGTCTATCACAACGACATAGAAAAATATAACGATCTGGGACGCGTTTTATTGCTAATTTAGGTACAGTCTTTGGGGGCCTCCGGGGAGGATCCGCCGGAGAAGTCGTCGAGGAAGTCGAAGGTGGCGACGGCGGCGCGCTCCGGCTCGCCGTAGCGGACGAAGAAGCCCTCGCGGCCGAGGATGGAGGGGCGGCGGCAGCGAGCGCGCGGCCCGGCCGGCCCGCCCAGCGCGCCGCCGCCGCACGGCCCGCCCGGCCCGCGCACGCGCAGCGCCGCCGCTGCGGCAACACGAGCGTCACTCACCTACTCTACAAGCGCGCGCCCTCTGGACCACACAACACGCGTGAGCACAGCGCGCCCGCGCCGCCCTCCCACACGCTCGGGCTGCACCACGCTCACACGTCGCCATACTGGCACTACGTTTATTATTTCTCAATCTCATTAAGTAATCTCTCTCTAATTAGTAATCAGTTGCAAACTTCTTATGTAAATCAAAATTGAATATTCAGAATTCGATAATAAAAACTTTATATCGATATTTTGTTCATCGATACATGTTCCTTCTCTTGACATTTTTATTTAAAATGTCAAAATTGTTGCATTATCTGTGAGCGTGGCTTCACCTGTAGATGACAGTCTACTCGAAATGAGGCGAGAGAGTGAGATGGTGCGTGTGAGTGAGAGCGGAAACGAGTGACGTGGCTGGACGTGACGACAGACAAAATGAAATGACATGACACATAATACATAGATCCGCACAGATCTTACGAACAAGTTTTTAATGTAAAAAGAGAATGTAGACACAGAATATATTTAAAAGCATTAATTAATTTACATTAAGGATAATATAAAGTAGAAGATTTCCATGAAAAGGATAATATTAAAGATCTGTGCGGTAGAAAACGTTAAATGTAAAACAGAGATTTCAGATCTAGAAGATATCTAGAAGAAAATAGATGCTATTTTAATTTATATAATAATTTCTTAATTATTTTATTTCATGCGAAAACTTTTAAACGTAAATCATAGGTAAATTCCATCGATCAGGCTTTTGTATGTAAAAAAAAATAAAAAAAACAAAGTACAGATTCAAAAAAAAGTTGTTCGCAAACTAAAATACACTGGCAACATTTAACGTTTATAAAAAAGCAAAATAAAAATAAATAAAATGAAAGAAAAATGTAAAACTGAATTGAAATGGAAAATCGTCATTGATTTTATGGCAACAAATAATTTAAATAGAAAAAGTAAATTTATTTCTAAGCATTAAGTGACAGACGACAGCGCATCAAGCTGCCCCATTTTGTCATAACACCTTCAATAGATTTTCGACCTTATCACTTTGTAGCAAAGTAGAAAATCTATTTAAGATTTCTGACAGTTTGGGATACCTTGTTGTGCGTTGTCTGTTGAATATATTTGAGATCTGAAAACATTAATTACCTCTACTATTAAAGGAACTATTTTAAATTACGGATCAGATAATGAATGAATCAGATTTCAAATATAACATTAGGGGATAAAAATTCGAAGGTCGTATACAAACTGATATTATGAAGATAACATCATAACATCACGCCTTTTATCCTCGAAGGGGTAGGCAGAGGTGCACATTATACCACTGTACAATGTAACACCCACTTTTCACTATGTTATGAGTCCCATGTAATATGGGAGCCTATTGCCATATACCGAGAACAGTTTCAGACTCCGTGCTACTACTAAGATTTTTTTAAAAACCCAGTAATACTTTGCCCGACCCGGGAATCGAACCCGAGACCCCTTGCCCGGCAGTCGCAATTGCGACCACTTGGCTAACGAGGCAGTCAAAATTTTATATATATTATGAAGAAAGTAAATTCAGTATTCTATTATCTATTAACATCAGTTTATGGCAGAGCTTCTAAAATATCACATTTTATTCAAAAAATAATATTAGGAATAGTTCAGATATTTACCTGTCTTTTGTCTCCTGGACCTGTGTAGACGATGTAGCCTGGAGTAGGGCGGGGGAGGCTCGGCAGGTGAGGACCCACATGATGATGGAGAGGAATCGCTGGACGCTAGCATCACGTCCAGGAGATTCGCTCGGGCCTGGAATATTGTGGTAGAACATGTGAGACAAGAATTAGGAGAATGGAAATTACTTTTTAATATGGCAAAATGTGTTGCCAATTATAAAACTAGAGGACCACTGACAAATTAAATAATTATTTTGAGTTCAGGAGCAAGACAATCTTATGAAGACAAACAGTTTAGAAAATGTGAGAAAAACAGCAGCTGTAGCCAAATGCCATTTAGCGCTTGTCTACATGTAGAATAGAAAACCGAATTATATGGAATTGACGTAAATTTTGACACTTGTCAGTGTCATCCCCATACATTTAGTTGTCTACTCTCTCTGTAGACAAGCGCTATAGTGGCGTTTGTCTAAAGGCACATAATTATAGAGAATTACAGAATAAAGCCTGTTAGGGTCAGTAAGCTGCTACCAACAGTTTTTAGTTACGATTTGATTTCAAAATTACGATGTCACTCCTTCATGATTGTGTCTATCCAAAAAGTGTCTTACAAGAGACAATCATATCATCATCATCATAACATCATGCCCCAGAAGGGGTAGGCAGAGTAGTACATTACGGCACTTTATGCCACTGTACAATGTAACACCCACTTTTCACTATTTATGTTATGAGTCCTATGTAGGTGGTATATATCGGGCACAATTCCAGACTCCGTGCTACAACTGAGAATTTTTTTAAAAACCCAATTGCACTTTGCCCGGGAATCGAACCCGAGACCCCTTGCCCGGCAGTCGCACTTGCGACCACTCACACACAAACATAAATACGCGGAATACAGAAAACAATCGAGTTAAAACATATATTTTTTTAATCAAATGAAATATAGGTCATCTTACTAGTTCTAATCTTATCCACTGAACACAAAGGAATATAAACAAAACATTACCTTAGGATCGCTGAAATCGATATCTTTTTCAACATGCACCCATCCTGTCGGTGCCCACAGCGCGCCGTCCTTGTGTGAGTGAGGTTTGTCCCCCCTCTCCTCTGCCGTGCTCGTGGCGCCCTCACTTTGACGTATCATCCTTAAAAAAATGGAAAAATCCATCACATAACGATAGTCTTTTTAAAGATAACCCCCACTTTCTTCATAAATTTGTACCGATTTTTGTAGTAAATCCTTTGAATTTTCGTCTCTAAATTTTGAAGAAAGCTCGTCACACCAAAACATGAAAATTTTAATTAACTTTCACTATGAATATTATTTCAGTAATTTAACTTAATAAAATGTATAACTAAGTATAACTTTGTATGTTTGTATTCGTTCACAATCACGATCGCTTTCTCAATCTATCCGATTAACGCGTCATTTATTCTTTATCAACAACATTATCAGTCACGCCATCAATGTGTCGTACGTTTTAATTTGTCGGTTAGTCTTTGTTTTTGTCAAATTAACTATCGGGGAGATAGTGGGCTTCCTTTCTTTAAAATAAGTTTCGTTTTGCTAAATCTAAATTCATTAAATAAAAATATTGAATTTAGTAATGTCTTCCTTGATCTGTCAAATGCTTTAGTAAGAGATGACTTTATACTAATTTATCATAGATCTCTTTATTCCTGAAATAATTATTTTATTGTTTTTAAAGTAAGAGCTCACCTGTTCAGTTCCTCAATCACATCTTTCGAAGTAGCAGCCTCATGGAAACTCAGCGTGTGTTCTTGCTTCACAATAATCGGTTCTGGGGCAGAAGCTTGCGCAGTCCCGGCCTTGCTCCGGTCTACCACGGGGATCTTTGACCTATTCCTACTCGGAGAAGATGGAGGCCTCTTCCCTCCCATAAGCGTTGGAATCCTGCTCCTCTCCCTCAATTTCCCCTCTCTAACATCGTTCTTATTACTTACTATCACAGTTTCAGCAGTAGACGTGCTAGTCGTATTAGATTCAGTCATTTGCGGGGAACCACTCTCAGGGGACGATCCCTCCTCCTCCTCAGGCACAGGAACTAAAGCCCCCGTACTCCGTCGACAAGCACTCAGGACTTCCTCCACTAAGGACATCTCCTCATTACTGGCATATGGAAAGCTGGACGATTTGGTTATGCAAGGCTCTACCTCCCTCTCAAGCGGCGATTGTTTATTCAACATTATATTCACAGTGTTCTCCTTCAGCGCTGAGTTGTGGTCTAAACTTCGACTAGATTCGATATCACTCGGCCTCTCCTCCTTTACGACGAAAGGCTGGTCTTCAACCTCGACAGATTCGATCACATCAATGCTTTTATTTATTTCATTCTTCCTTTGGACTTTTATGAGATGCCTTTCATCTATTTCGTTCTCTGCATTTTCGACTCTAGAAAATTCGTCAAAGAAATCTTCGGATTCAGCGTAAGGGTCTTCGCGTTCGATGAATCTCGGCGTGGACCGTGGCTCGGATACAGTATCACAGAAGGCGACCCGTGGTCGGTCGCCGTGTAGGACGTCACAAGAATCGTTTTCAGAGAAGCTGCCGAAGGAGTCAGGTCTCTGTCTGTCTTCTGACACTTCACTGCGAGGACCCACTGAGTCGTCGTCGAAATCGGCCGCGGCATACGGAGGTGGTAACTCTCTGATTTCTGACAGAGGTCGGGACGACATCGAATCTGATTCTTCCCTATCCCTGCAATACTTCTGCTGCTCAGCGATGAAATGCAGCACGTTTTGCAAAGCCACCTCCCTATCTTGCAGAGCCATTGCTTGCACATCGTGGATTCTTAAATGATTACTTGAATCCTGTGCTGGAATACCCCTGGACGAATTTGATGCTAAGCTCTTTGTGCTTTCATATTTAACGAGTCGGTAGAAATCTCTCGTAAAATCTAAGCCAACGTTGGCACAGTCACCGTCTTCACTCAGAGCAGTACTCGATCTTTTATCAGGCGCGTCGGATGCACTCGACCATGAGCCGCCGGGTGAGTGTGTACCTGTGCAATCCCATCTTTTCTCCGATGTATCAGCGTCATCTGCTATTCTGCACTCGTCTATTTCTATAGTTGCAAATCCACAATCATTCCAAAGACAATCACCGACATCTTCCTCTAATTCTAGTGCATCATCTTCCCTGATGCTGGGTAGTGTTGATAAAGATATTTGGCCTGGCGTAGTAATTTCTGCAAAGGGGGACTGCCTGTCCCTGAGATCTTCACAAGATAGCGATAAGCTCCAATCTTCTAGTTCAGCTCTATCATATTCCAAATCTGCTAGATCTCTATGTCGCTGCTGTAGGGCTGATCTTGCATCGTCTAATTCTAGCCAGTGTTGGACATAGTCAGCGTCATATTGCGAGCCATCAGCGCGGTCATCTAGCGTGCTGCCCCATGAGACCCTTTCTGAGCTCGTTGTTGAAGCAATGGCTGCTCGCCTCAGTGGTCTTTCGGGGGCAGGTTTCAGATCTAGTACTAATACACCAGAGCTAGGCGTAGGAGTGTCTAAGCAGCTGGTGGGACAAGTAGTTCCAGCGATTAACTTTAAGCATAAATGAGAATCTGAGAAACTTCGCACTACGTGCTGGAAAGGTAGCACTGGTCGCGAGGGAGGATAGCTGCCCCTGACGCCAGCGAACGCGACTCCTATTGGGAAGTAGATATAATCTGCATCCGTGGCTAGGAGTCTTGCATGTCTTCGAGATTCTCTAGGGTTGATGGAGACGATGGTTTGGTTGTCGGTTTCATCAGAAGCCTCGTTGAGGTCAGGCAGGGCTCTGTCGGCCGCGTGGTCGCTTTGCCGCGAGGCGTCGGCTTGTACATCGCTGGACATGGTGGAGTAGCCCTCGTCTTTAGCTCCACTCTCTGGAGACTCGGCACCAGCCTCGCCAACCTCACCGCTTTCCTCTTCCGTTACTTTTTCTCCACTGGCTCCTGGAAAAGCAGAAAGTATAAAGTTAAAGCAATAAAATTAATTTAAATTTTGAGATCATCGTGCTGAAATCTATTTGATATCATTAATCAAGTGGTTACCTCTAGCGGAGTCGGTGCAAGGTTGCGGCATGCTGAGGCTGAGCGTGTGGGGTCTGGCGGGGGGCGCCCACAGCGTGGGGTCCACGGCGGACAGCGCACGGGCCAGGTTCGCTGGGGTCACCTCCAGGCCCTGGAAGGTTGGAAGCATAATTTGATGCTGGATTTTAGCAGCCACTGCCAATGCTACATGCTCAATAAATATTCCGTTCTTTATTGCTGTTCCACAAATGCTATGAAAGTTTTAGTAAAGTAGCAGTTTTGAATACTAGTACATGCTGTAATTTATTGATAGTTTACCTTCAATTCAGTCCAGATATCAGCCAATATCTGGTGGCGCCGCTTGTCGTCGTGGCTGAGGGGGTGCGGGTGAGGCACGGGCGGCGCGGGCGGCGGGGAGTCTCGGAACGATACTAGAGACCCGCAGGAGCCGACGTCTACCAAGTGAACTGAAATTTTTAGGCAAAGAGATTGACTTATGCAAATATTGAATTTTACACATAGATTATGAAGTCTCAAAGCATGGAAATTCTATTCAAGCATTTTTTTCTCCATCTGATCGATTATCATAATCGAGCGTGGCTCTGCAAAATGCAAGACACACAAATCTAAAAATGACTGTCTCCGGTTGGTTCTTGTAATAATAGCGTCACAGTAGACGGTTCTTTATTTGGTCGGATGGTCTAGAAATTATTGTAAGCATTTCTTACCTTGTAGATCTCGAGGTGTATGAGGCGTGAGAGGCGTGTGCGGCGTGGCGGGCGAGGGCCTCGGCTGCGGCCGCAGCTGCCGCACGAGCAGGGCGCTCAGCGCGCGGTTCTGTGCCTCCAGCTCGCGGATACGGGCGCGCGCACATCCCAGCTCTTCGCGCACGCTCTGTAACAACGAATATACGGGTTATTTTGGAGATTATGAAGCCTGCCACAATAGGGCTGTCCATTTATTTTGTACAATTGTAAGTAATAAAACTATTGAGGATGTGAATTGTAATTTGATACAAAAGTTTATTGATGTCGTTAATTAATTTATTACAAAGAATAAATGTGATTGTATTTAAGGCGATAGACGCTTCTATCTATTGGCTGTTAGATCGACCATATCCTGTACATTAAACAATGCAAATTGAAGTTCACGTTTTGGTATTTAGGTACAACTACTTAAGTACCACTTCTTGTTATCATAAAAACTTTCCACATGAATTAAAAATGTTAAAATATTCCATCAGGAATCTTCCTAAGTTGCGTAGCTATCACCAGACGAACTTTACTGTATCTCCCCCAACTCACCGGGTCTCGTCAAAATGTCTTGGAAATAAACGCGTACATTTTAATTATACTTCATTAGCTAAATTAAATTCGAGTTGGGTAAATGACGGGGGTAAATAGGGGAGAAAACTTGGATACGCAAGTATACGGGTTTTCCGAGAGATGGACTTTGCTTTGGTATCGTCAAACTCTCTATGTTTAAATAGACACGCCATTTAAGCTGTCCGAATCAGTCGATTTTTAATAGGCTTTCATCCCTATTATGTTGCCATAAAGTTGGAAAAATATTAAACGTTTTTTAAATAGAGGCATCTGTACCAAAAACTTTGGTATGTCCTTTGACATATGTTTGGTTAGATTCTTTAGGGACCTCTACCTTTTAGGATTTTTGGCTAAGAAAGGGTCGATTTCTATGGTCTGTTAACCTTTTGAACGCCAGAGCAAAAACGCATGAACTTGCCCTCAACGCCAGGCCACAAATTCACCGCAAATACCTACGAAAAAAATAGGGATTCCAAAACTTCATCGATAATCAATTTTATTTTCATTTTCGTCTTTAATTTCGAAATATAATGTCCTTATAACATTGAAATTTAATTCAACATTACATTTCTTCCTATTAAAGTAATAGTTATACACTATTTACAGACTTGTATAATACCGTAATAACAGATATGAGACTACAATATATTTAAATATAATAACTGTAGGTACAACACTGCTGTCTTCATATTGTGACCATGGCGTGGACGGCCCGCCATTTTAATAACTACTTCGCTTCCGAAATAAGGATGTGGCAACGTAATATCTCGTTTATCGATGTTCTAGTACAATATTATTTTATAATAAATGAAACACGTTTTTTAAATCAGATTTATAATTCCGAATGTAACAGGTACTTAAAAATATATGATTGAAATAGGTTAAGAAGGTAAATAAAAACTATGAAAAAATAGAAAATTTTAATAAAATGTTATACAGTATGTACTATGTATACATGTTTTTAAATATTAAGTTCTATAAACCTGGCATAAAAAGTAACAAATTAAAACAATTAACGATTATATATAATTATCACAATTACCAATCAGTCTTATACTAATAAATCTTTTGAATAATAGAGCAAAATTATACAAAATCTACAATGCAACCTGCATTCTGAACTCTGAACTCGATATCACAAGTAAATTAATCATAAATATTATTCATTCACTTCACTAATTTCTGGTCGCCGCGCTTGTGACGTCACGATATTGTCGTCTAGTCGTGACCATGGCGTACAGGGTACTGATAATTCGGGTTGCGTTAGGGATGCGCTCGAGTTGGGATTAGTGAATATCGAAATTCGACCCAACCAAATTTTATTTTTGACTATGTAGCTTATTGAATGATTTTTAAGACTGGTTTTATAAAATTAATGCTGCTTTATCCTAGTACCAAATTATACCTAAAATAATATATTCCAGAGGAAAGTTTCGCATCGATCTTTGATTTAAAATAATGATATTATCCAACATGCGCTACATCACTAGCGGTCACGCATTTATGACTCTGGCGTGTGAGGACATTCTTTTTTCAGAGTTTATTTCTTTCTTTTTAACGTAAAATTTTTCAATATTTATAATGCAATTTAATTAGTTTTATGGAAATAAATAAATTTTGGACCTTCTATTTTACAGGTATATAAATAAATAGGCATTAAAGTAATGTTTAAATAGTTTATTTCGTGTTTTAATGTACCGCTGTTTTTGTCACATATTTGTGTCGTTGGCGCTCAGGGACAGTTTTCGCTTGTCACGTATTTGTGACAATGGCGCTCAAAAGGTTAAACACCGGAGTTTGAAGATATAAAGATTGGTTCTGTCTTTACAGAAGCCTTTCAGCAGGCGTAGCTCAATAATAGTGTCTGTACCGTAGCAGATAGTATTTGAAAAACAATCTTAACGTAACGAAATAAGGATGAAAGTCAATACAAGTTGAAGAGGCTGCACGTTGAGTGGATTTAGGAGCTCATAACTTAGGGGATAGGTTTAGTTTAGAACTTTGCTCGGCTTATGTAAAGTTTAGCGGCCAGTTTAGCTGCACTATTATCTATGTTTACTAAGGTATACGAAATAAATTATAACACGGCAAATTTTCCAAAGAATTAGTATAAGAAACTTATTTTTTTATTAGTCACAAACACAAAGCTTCGTAATTAATAAAGTAAGGAAAAAAAATCTCAAATACATCAAGGGACAAGGTACAAATTGCATATACTACTCTAATACAAACATGATTCACCTGATATGACATGGTGTATGGGTACCTATACCAAGCAATTTTTTTTAAGGGGGGAAAATCATCGAATGACTGTTCCCGCCTGGATGAGACGGGAGGGAGTGTCAGACTCTTATTGACTAAAAACCACCCCGTTCCTTCTCATGCACGTCGAGCCGGAGCTCCGGTTACACGTTAGGTTCTCCGCGACATCTATACCAAGCCTGTGCGGTGAATTATGTACATTTAATCATTTTAATTTTGCCAAACGTCGTCGTTCGTTTGAAAACACACCCAGACCCAGAAGTTGCTAAATACTCAACCATTTAAAATACAAATCTTTTACTCAACCACAATTTAACTGATGCTATGTTTGAACCATCACATTTCGGCCTACACAATACAATGTTCCAAAAACATGCACTTCATTTTATCTAAGTACAGAAATCTCTTACAATAACACACCAACCAACCTAATTAAAATGGAAACATTCCAGAACTTGGAGAGCAATTTTAATAAATTCAATTAAACGTAAATATTATTAATGAAGTACAGTTATAAATTTTAAGTGATTTTCGTTTACTCAGAAAGGATTTGAATGTAACGGGTTATCTACGAAGGGGAGAAGTTTTACTCAAAATATTTTATTGTTAAGAAGATGGTCGTGTTTTGAAGAATGGGTGAATTATGTTTGATTTTGAAATGGTCTTGATAGTCCAGCTGTTATAAGCGTGTCTAGGTATAATGTCTAAAAATATAATATTCTGAGGTGCCTATCTAGGTACGAGTACAAGATGATTTCTAGGTTGTAACTATAGTAAGGAGATTCTTTTTATCGTAATTTACATGGATAAAATGAAGTCTAGAATATGAAAAAAGATACATATCTACTCATTTAGACTTAGACTTCTATAAGAATCCCCCCTTAAAAAAAGATCTCTTTTAGGGATGTGACTTCACTCTCGACTGGCGAAATCATATCTCTGCGCACGTGGTCTAGACGAGACCAACATAACTATTGAAAAACGAAAACATATTATACAATTACACCAATATAATAATCAATATTGTTGTTCCTTCAAACTTCAAAATTAATAACAATGTATTACTTCAAACTACCAATAACACAAACATCGTAAACACCGTACCAATATAATCATCGTCTTCAATTTCAAATTACCTATCTATCGCCGAATTACTCAAACGTAAACTAATAATCTTCGCCTTCAACCCGCATGTGGTGTCTCTAATTACTTGTGAAGGATCGTACATATACTTATGTACAAGATACTCTACAGAAACGTGTATTCATCTCTCATAATTATCATATGACATTAATTACTCGATAATATCCATATCCCCCTAATGTCTGCCAACCAGCTAATAGATTAAGTGCATTGATGAAATTGAGAACACGAAGTTTCGTCGTAAATTCATTTTATAGCTCAAACTTGACCATTTGTGGCAGTAAAATCATTTAGAAATTGTTCTCCTTGATTACAGATATGATAACTGTTAGTGTACCTAATTGTTTTGGGCAATAATTAGACGGTAAATTCGTCTTAAGACGTTTCGTAACTTTACGAAACGATATTTTAAGTTGTCTATACTAAAAATACTTCGCGCTGAATGAATATTTAACGACCAAAGTTTGTCATTAACATTTTCCAGCGTTATGTGAAAACACGAGCGTCAAACTTTGAAAAACAATCAAAAGCGGTCGTCGTTTGCAAGCGGCGCCATCTTTATCAGGAAAGTTGGCGCCAAAACTACAACAACATGGCGGACATTTACAAACTGGATTTAAACACAAACGGTCGCATTATCGGACAGATTATGCCCAGATTATAGTGGGCCAGGCCTTTTGAAATTATTACGGTGCCAGCTAAGGCCAAAGTGTCCCATTTCGTGCGATTTATGTGCGAATGTAGGCACCACGTAATCCACGGACGCGGATACAAGGGCGACTATAATTATGAGAAAACAATTTCCGGGATGCATCTTAATGCTTCGTGGATTATACGACAGACATTTGTTTTTTTGAAGATTAACAACGGACACTGTGTTGCTTTGTTTTAATCTTTTAAAGGACTCGCGTAACGCACGAAACCTTCAGTAAAATTATACTTAATTTCAAGGTTTTCAAATCTCTTACTTTTATCATGAAACCAGCTAGATTTTAGAAGAAGAAAAAAAAATTAAATTTTATCTATAGTCCAAGGATGAAATGTTAGGGAGTGTAATGGTATTGTACCATGAAGGTTACAGTGTTAAGATTGAGAAAGGATTCTAGTTAACAGGGCTAAAAGACAGGTCTCACCTTCTGCGAGAGAAGCGCTCGCACAACTTGCTGCGCGACATCGTCGAGCCTGCGCTCGTGGTCGCCCGCGCCCAGCCCAGCGGATAATGTGGACAGTTGGCTGCGCAGCCGGTCGTTCTCAGTGCCTAGCGCGGACAGCTGGCTCTGATAGTGGGCCGCCGACGCCTGCAACAACCACCCGACTTTCAGCACAACTTTGCATAACCACGGACCACAACACACTAAATTATATTGTTTACACGAAACAAGGCTGTTTCTGCGTTCCCCATTAATCTGTTTACCCTACAAATAGGGCGTAAAAATATCGCAGTTTAATAATAAACCTGACATTAAAAAAACAAGCTTTCCTATCGTCCACAGCCATATTTTTTCAGTCTCACTCATCAAAACGTCACGGACATTCTTGTCGTCAGCAGCGCTACGCTAAAAAAATACCCCCGAAAACGGACCATTTCGTTCACACTCTTAATTAAGCGAGAGTTCTCACAACAAACGAAACCAGAGTAAATTGACCCGCTCCGCCCTCTGTGGCCTACAAAAACAACATCGCCGAGCAGTATTCCTATTTGGCATCACAGGTCTACTGATATTTGACAAACTGGAGTTCGACACTGCTCGAAGGATTTTGAATCTTAAATGCTATGCAGTAAAGTGTATAATATGAGATATATTTATTCGGCGTGAGGTTTTCATTAGTCATCAAGTGAGGGCGAGACAACGAATCTGTTTGTCTGTATGTCTGAAACAACACGCGAGTGATAAGCGATGAAAGGGTTAGGATTGAATGGCGAGCCCTTTTCAATTTGGACATGCTTATAATTATGACTGCACAGTTTTAGGTGGGAAGGTCTAGACGTTCGCGGTTAATAAATCATGAAATGTAATACTTACACTTTAAATTCTAATTTATTAATTATCTAGAGACTAGAGATAATCTTCAAATATTAAAAAAACAATCGTAGTATTACAAAATTCTTTGTAAACAACTTTAATAATTTTGCTAAACTATTTCTGACAACGTCAAATTATTAACTGTCAAAAGATTTTTTTTTAAATAAAAAGTTTATGATACGTATTTTTATACCAAAGAGGATGGATTAATTATTGAACTATTCAGCTGAATTTTCATACAAACTTAAACATTTTAAAATCATATGTAATTATTTACATAATCTACAAATAAAGCAACAAATAAATTTAATAAAACCGATACATAACTGTACGAACAATTTAATTAAAATTCCTCGTGATTGACTAGCAAATCAAATGTGCTTTATTTCATGATTTAATTATTTATCAACCGCGCCGCCATTTTGCCGTCTGCGGGGTTAATTTTGTAGATTTAATTTATATTTTGAATTTCGAATCGAACCGCAGATGTTTTACGAGCACAGATAATTAAAGTGAAGAGCATTTGATTGGTTTCCTTCGAATGCTGGAGTGATGTACGATTGGATTGTAAATTCCTTTACATTTGTTTTGATGTACGAAAGAGAAGGTATGCTGCCGTTGTAATAGAATGAAAATGATTTTTTTTCATTGGTATTACATTATCTTGTTGATCTAGAAGAAGTTACAAGGACTAAAGCCTTGTTCGCACTGCGCTAGTATTTTAGTCGAAGAGCGAGTTTTTAGTACCTTTCTCTCGCTTAGATTTTGAAACAGAAGCGAGAGAAGGCTACTAAATACTCGCTATTCGACTAAAATACTAGCGCAGTGCGAACAAGGCTTTAGGGACGATAATTATGGAGTGAGCAACGTATGGATTCAAGATTTAATAATTGATGCCGATTGGTGCCCCATTTTGTGTTTATTAATTTAGGAAATTTGCTTACTAAATAGATGGCATTACAAAAAAACAAATATTCTTATTGTTATTACAGTATCCAAGTAATAAACAAAAAGATTTTTATTTTTAAAAAGAATAACTACACTTCAGTGCAAGAAAAGTGACCATTTATTAAAGTGATTTATGATATCAATCACCGGCGGCCATTACACTCTCCTTATTTTTATGTTTGGTAATAACAGCGTAAGTTTAAGCATAAATCACAACACTTTGCATAGCAACTGCGATTTGTCACACACACGTCGCTTTCTTTTTATAGTGGGTGAAATAGCCACAACCATCATTAGATATTCGTGGTGTTAAGTTCTGATGGCTAGGAAGAAAATCATTTTATGAGACACAATCATTTTGATAAACGATGTTTATTGATCTCATAGTGTTGATTTAATTTAAACTGTCATATACCGAGCGGTCACCAGCGACCGCAACCTATTGTTCTTTTATTGTGTTTATAATGACGGTGCTCAACGAGTTAATTCGACTGCTAAGTTGGCGCGATGGCTGGACAACTGGCTGCCATGCAACGTGTCGCGAGTCCAATTCCCGCACGGAACAACTCTTTGCGTGATCCACAGATTGTCGTTCCGGGTCTGAGTGTCATGTGTATATGAACTTGTATGTTTGTAAACGCACCCACGACACAGGAGAAAATCCTTATGTGGTGCATCAATACCCCTGCATTGTGCAAAAGATCTTAAAAATAACCTACAAGATATTTAACCAAGATTAAAGCTAACGAACTAAATACAACCATTTAACTAATTAAATTATCCGTACCATGACAAGTCAGTTTGCTAATCATTATTAACATCATAGTTTCGCTCAAACCAAGAATCATAAGATTGATGAATTTAATCACGATTGTTGATGCCGAGAATAGTCATTGTTTAGTAAACTACGAGGGGTTTTCAACAGAAGCCGAAGTGATTACATTTACGGCAATAAGTAGAATTAAAGGCGGTCACGGTGTGCCATTAATCATGGCCAGTAGTGTAGACATCATTACGTTTGTTCGGTCACGCGTTCGCTAATGTTCGGGGTAGTTCGTTGTTTTCTTTTGGTGGACTTTCTTTTTTTAGTCGAAAAAATGAGAATAGATATTTTTAAATTAAGTCGAAACAAGGATTGTGGCATACATAGGTATCTACCTCAGAGAATGATTTCTTTTTAAGACTTCGTTCATTTTTAGAACGTATTTGAATTTGATAGGGAACTTCACATTCACGGTCAAACAAAATACACTCGGCGTGAACGGCCACACATCAATCTATACATAACGAGTTTATCCTGGTATCGCGTCGCATCATCTTTCCGCACATTTAACGTTCAGTTTATATTGGTATGTAAAGCTCGATGTGTAGCCGCGTGTACATAGTGGAGTATACAATTTCGTACCTAAATAACAAAGGATTATACGATCACTCGTGTGTCTGCCGACAATCCATTTCTTACAAAACTACTGATTTTCCCTTGACATGTATCGCAGCGGCATTTAAACTGTCAAACACCAAGCGGTCACCGGTGACCGCAACCTATTGTTCTATAATTGTGTCTACAAAATCGGTACTCGACGAGTTAAAAGAGGACAAACGGTTGTAACATTGTTTGACAAACGTTTAGTGTCGTGGTGGTTCGAAACCTGTCAACGATAAGTACCAATGTGACTTTTTCCGAGTTATATATGTACTTTCTAAGATTATCTAGACACCACTGACAAACAGTGAAGGAAAACATCGTGAGGAAAACTGGGCTTATAATTTTTTATTATAAGTTTGAAATCGCTAACCCGCACTGAGTAAACGTGGTGATTAATGGTCAAACCTTCTCCGTGTAAGAAGAGGCTTTGCTCAGCAGTGGGCATAGACTGTTGATGTGTACGTTGAAACGTTTGTAACAAATGCCACTGCGTGTATTAAAAGATAATTCTGTCAGGTCTACCCCTGACATCCCTTTCGCCGTCTAATCAGATATTGGTGCTATACAATTCTAGATGGTTTCTATTTTATATCCTAATCATGTGGTTAGGAGTAGGATACAAATAGAAATGTACTCTATATACTGCTAGAATAGAGTGCACTTTTATTTGTGTTCATATAATTTTATGAATTAGCTGACTTTACTTTCTTTAATTTCTTTCACTTGTATAACACTAAATTATAATTCCATTAATAAATAATGCATACCATCTCCTCAGTTTGGGTAATAGATGGCGGCAGTTTCCAATTTGGTCGGATTATCTTATCCTGGAGTGAGGCGAGTTAGTTCGACATTCTGCGCCCGTAATAGCTACCTTGGACTTGTTCGCATTATTTAACGGCAAAGAGTTAATAAAATTATAATATTGTGAAATAAAAAAATAATCGACAGTCTGTGAGAGGGATTTAGCATAACCTCTATACCTGTTCGGTCAAGGGGACTCAAGTTCGATTACTGGGTTTAAAAAAAAATCTCAGTACCTAGTAGCACGGAGTCTGGAATCGTGCCCGGTACATGGCAATAGTCTCACTCCCTATTACCTACCTGTAACTCACAACATAAATAGTTAAAAGTGGGTGTTACATTGCACAGTGGCATTAAGTGCCGTAATGTGCATCTCTGCCTACTACTTCGGGGATAAAAGGTCTGATGTTATGTTTCGTCGGTCTCTATAAAATATGGACGATTGTTCTATGACGCCCCGCGCTCATTGCCAATTTGGTTATGTTGTAGTGTTCCATGGTTGTGTGGTCACATGTACATCGCACAATAATATAGTAATATGCAGTCAGTATTTAGCTTCCTTAATCAAATCAAATCATTTCATCAATCAGCATCAACAGTCTATAAATGCCCACTGCTGAGCAAGGCCTCTTCTCACATGGAGGCCATTTCAATATAAGCCTAGATTTCCACACAATGTTTTCCTTCACCTATTGCCAGTGGTGTCTAAATAATCTTAGAAAGTACATATAACTCGGAAAAAGTCACATTGGTACTTTGCCGGTCGTAAGTTTCGAACGCGCACCCTCATACATGAGAAGCGGGTGTCTTAAACCTGCCCACCACGACAATAAATCATTTATTAGTTAATAAATGACTAACAATAGATATCGTATCGTCCAATACATTGGAAACCAACTAATTGGTTTCGTTAGCGCGGCAACTATGGCGGGCCGACGCTGGCTCGCTAACGTAATTATGAATATACCTCATCCTCTGCCTACCCCGGAAACAGTAATGAATAACTTGCCCGCTTGCAGTTTAAAATGCAGCGGTTAACGTAGCCAGCGGTTGAATGTTGCAGATGCTGGATATTAATTATTTAGTCTTGGTTTTG